TACCGTCACGAGACGCCCGACGCCAGGGGTGCGGGGGAGGAGCCCCGCCTCAGCCGTGCGTCACGTTCCGCCGCCTGGGACCGCGCCCGGGTCACGTGGCACAAACATGTCTGCGCCCAGTGGTTGCCGCCATCTTTGCGGCCCTGCCAGGAGCAGGGTGGCGCCATGTTGGACCCTCCGACCGACGTCCCAGCCGCTGAGTTTAGAATCACAGAAGCGATCATTGAACCTGTAGAGCCGTGAGGAGGGTGGGGCGCCCTACCAAGTTCACCCCAACACATTGAGGTCTACTCAGAACTTTACCTCCGTCTTCAACATGCTCTTCTCATAGCCCTTTCCTATCTTGGTTCACGCAAGCTTCGTTCTTTTGGCTGCTGGATCCAAAACCTTTAGAATCATTCATTTCTTGCAGTGGGTTGAATAGTGGCCCCCGAAAAAGATATGTCCTAGAACCTGGGGATGTGACCTGATTTGGAAAAAGGGTATTTGAAGGGGTAGTTGAGATTCTAGAGATGAGAGCAACCTGGGTCACCCAGGTGAGCCCAGATCCAGTGACAGGTGGGCTCACCAGAGGCCGACTGAGCGCAGACACAGAGCAGAGCAGCGCACGGGAGGGCGGGGAGCAGCCACACCCATAGAAGGCCAAACAGACGGACGAACAGGCCCGGGCTGGTGGGCGGGGTGGCAGGCTTTGATTTCCGGCTTTTGTGATTGACAGTACGTTTCCGTTGCTACCAACCTCATCTGCTACAGCAGTTCTAGGAAACTAACTAAACTCCCCTTCTCTCTCTCCTACCTCTCATCCTTGGCCTCAAGAGACTCCGAATGGGACTCCCTACCACCTCTGCTGCTCCCACCTGGCCTGAACCTCCATCGCTTCTCCCCTGGACCATGCCAACGACCTTGGATTCCTGCTCCCACCTCATTCCCTGTCTAGACTCAACGCAGCAGCCAGAGCAATCCTATAAAAATGTCAGACCATGTCATTCTCCCACTCAAGCTATTCCCATAGGTAAGAATAAAAACTAAAGGCTTTACAACCAAAAGGTCCTATCCCGTCTGACCCCTGAAACTTCTCCAACCTCATCTCCTTCTAATGTCCCCTGTGGTCAGTCTGCTCAAACCACACTAGTTGACAGCAAGAGAAGGGACACATCTAACTAAAGTTTCTGCAGTTGTAGTTCTGTCTGGACAACTCTGCTCTCAGATATCTGTACGGCCATTCCCTCACTTTCCTCGGGTCTTGACTTCACCGTCATCTTCTAAGTAAGAATGGCCTTCCCTATTTACAACTGAAGTTCCCCTTCCTATCACTCTAGACACAAAACACTCACTTGCCATCTCCCTTCCTGCTTTTTTGGGTTTTTATACTGCGTACTTATTTGTGCATCATCCAGCTCCCCAGCTAGAACGGCGGTCCCATAAAGGCAAGGATTTTGTCTGCCTCATCCGTGCCAGATTCTCGGCTCCTGCAACAGTGCTGGGGCACAGTAGGTGCTCGGGGAGTACCGTTCACAGAGCATTCAGGGCAATGGAAATTGGAAATGGTCTGAGGCCATGAATTACGGTAATTCTGCCCCACTCTGCAGCCACTCAAAATGCCAAGCTTCAGGATAAACAACTAGAGAACACAGAAAAAGGCAGAGCACACAAATAAAAGAGACCTGTGAACCCCTGGCTTTCTAAGCAGCACACTGAGAAGACTACTCAGATGCAAACATGAGCTACCTCCCATGGAAAAGAAAGGACAGCTCAGAAGAAACCCACCATCCAAGAAGCTGGAGTCTGGAGCTGCAGAGGGTCCTTCCCGAGGAGGAGTCCTGGGCCCTCGTCAGAGGCCCAGCAGCACGAGCCTAACTGGACTGCAGAATTGCTGCGACCCAGGGTAGCCGTGCCACTCCTGTTCTCCCCCTTGCGAGAGAAGTGTTTGCTTCAGTTATCTGATGCTTGTCCACTTTATTTTGGGGGCTGTGGAGAGCAGAAAACATGTCTGCAGCTCACAGTTCTTCAGATCAAGAGGAACAGGTCTCGAGAAGCTGTTCATGCGGAATCGTAGGGGCTTCGTCTTCTGAGGAGCTCCGTTTGCACCTGAACCTGATTTACATGATAAGATCCGTTAGGAGCCAGTGATGTACTGAGATAAGACTTCTAGGGTCTTTGGGAGAAGGTGGGGGTATATTTTGCACAAAGGAGAAATAGAAATAATTTGTGTCCAGGAGGTAGACTGTGGTAAGTTAAAGAAAGCAGTAAATTCTTTGTTCCTCCTTCCTTTGAGATGTGGCATCTACTTCCCTTCCTTTTGAGTTTGGGTTGACCTTACTGACTTCTTTGAGTGTAGCAATGTGGAATACAGCAGCAGTCCACGGCTGGATCTTAAGAACCTCGCAGCTTTCACCTGGACCTCCTGAAATGCTCAGGCTGCAGAAGCCTCCGAAGCCAGCCTCCGTGCTGTGAGGCTCCCAGACCCCATGCAGGTATTCTTCCCCATGCCTCCAGCTGGGCCCCCAGTGGGCAGCCAGCGTCAACTGCCGGCCGCGGAACCGAGTCATTGCAGATGTCCAGGCACATTAAACTTCAATGACTGCAGCTCCAACTAAAAACGGAAAGCGGATTGCAGTTACACAAAAGGGCCGTGGGGACGGGGGCCCTCTTCCACCGTCATCCTTCCCGTGCTGTGGACTGAAGCCCTCCTATGGCTCCATCCTGACGTCGTGCCCTTACCTGACCAGCACACGTCCGTCCCTGCGTGCACTTTGCATCCCCTTGGAACAACCTTCAAGGCCCTACATCACTGGCCTTTGTATCTTTCATTTATTTATTCATTCAACAAACGTAGCCTGAGCACTTACTGAGCGGCAGGCACTGTTCCGCACACTGGAGAGGGAATGCTGAACAAAACAAAGACCCCTGCTCTCATGTAACCGACATTCCAGTGGCAGACACAGAAAACAGCCCACAGAAATGAGTGCAAGTCCAGTATATTAGATGGTGGTGAGTGTGAGGAGAGAAACAAAGCAGGGGAGGGGTGGCCCGGCTCCTCTGAGGAAGCCGGTCCTGCCTGGGGGCCTGCCTCCTGCTCCCAAGTACGTCCAGCTCCTTCCTGCCCCTGCCCGGTGAGCTCCTCTGTCCCGGACAGGGCTTCCGCCCCAGTTCTGAAGACCCTCCTGTGGTCGGACCCCTCTCACCACTGAGCTTAACTCAGTGACGCTGCAGGGAGCCCCTCTTGGTCACCCAGTGATTCTCTGTCCTGTAACCTTGTTACATTGTAAGGTTTTCTCCATACCACCTCTCTGAGAAAGGATCCTCTGTAATTATTCGTTTACTTTGTTTAATCATTTCAACAATTACTTGTTTATGTGTTCTTGGGGAAATTCTCCCTCCTCCTAGAATTTCATTTCATGAGAACAGGGACCGTGTCCACCTGGTTTGCTGCTGTGATTCCAATGCCGGGAAGGGTCCCTGAGACAGGACAGACACTCTGTGAACACTTACCGCCTCTCCCCCTCCCCTCTCACGTGGGAGCCCCCCTGTCCTCCGAGGCTGGTCTCCTCGCAAGAGTAGACTGGAAACACAGTCGGAGCCCTGTATTCAGGAAGGCCGTGCCACCTGCTGTGACAGAGCACCCCGAACGCATCAGAGCTCAAACACACGGAAGCAGGCGGCTGCCCTCCACACGCTGACCCGGGCGCTGGGCTCCTTCTGCCTTGTGGCCGCACCACTCCCAAGGGGCCTGTCATTGTCTGGACAGACCTGGCAGCAGGGGAAGAGCTCTGTGGAGGCGGCACACCTGCTTCTCTAATGCTTCGGTGTGGAACCGACACACGCACTTCCGCTCACATGACTTCGGCAAGAGTTAGTCACACTGCACACCTGGATGCCAGAGGACCCACCAAACAGGCACCAGGCTAGGCAACGGCTGTGTGCTGTGGAAGGGGGGGAGGGTGGACTCTGGTAGGGAGCCCTTTCCCTCGGCCACAGATACCACGTAAGTGCTAGATGAAGGGTGACCCAGGAGAAACACCTGAGGTACCAGAGTAGTCAAGGAGGGCTTCCCAGAGGAGGCGGTGCTGCGGTGACTCATGAAGGATGATTAGGAACCTGCTGGGCCAAGGGAGAGGAGGGTTACTGCCGGCGGGGGACGACTGCGTGCAAAGTTGCAGAGGAAGGAGAGCATGTCATAACTCATTCCTGAAATTGCTGGCGGTTTAGTGTCCCTAGAATGCTGAGCTAGAGGAGGAAGCAGGCGCGGTGGGAGACCACGCAGAAGGACTAGATCGTGGTGTGCCGCGAGGGCCTCTGATCCAGATGTTGGCAGGGCCTTTTCTATTCTTTGGGTACTAACAATCAAGATCCCAAATTGAGGGCAAAGAGTGTGGAGAGCCTCACATTTAAGGGTGAGCAGGACGTCTGCTAAGACCCGGGCAAGAACAGGCCCAGCCTGGAGCGCTCAGGGAAGTGGCAGGACCGGCCCCACCACCACCACTTACCCTCCTCCCCACCCAACTGGAGCAGAAGCATGGGGACAGGCGGGAGGGAACACACGCTGTCACAGGCCCACAGGGGAGCGCTGGGCTGTTCCCCCCGCGCCTCCCCCGCTGCCGCCAAGGTGAGGGGTTCTGAGACTGACTCTTCCAGCTGGGGCGGGGGCAGCAGGACCCATGAGCGTCTCATTTCCCAGGGGAACCTCCCAGTCGGCAGCAGGCGTGCGGATCCCGCCCTCTGCCTCGCTGGGCAGGGACAGGGGAGGGACTGAAAGACAAGAGGCCACAGCGACAGCCTGCACACCCGCTGGGGTGAGGCCACCGGGCAGGCCTTTCCCAGAGTCAAGGGCTCGCTCCGAGGGGCAGTGACCTACTGCTGCAAGCCAGGTGCCCCACGTTTAGTGCCGTCAACCGATCACCACCGAAGACCTCACAATTCCTGCGGGCCAGAGGTCACGCAGAAGAGAGCGTGCAGGACTTAGCTCTGCCCCGGTGTCTGGGGGCTCAGCGGACAGACGCAAAGGCTGGGAGCTAGAATCACCTGAAGGCGGCCTGGGGCCTGAGAGTCTGTCCCAAGGCGGCTCACCACGCTGCTGGCCAGCCTGCTGACCAACTAGCTTCTCTCCAGGTGGGCTGAGCGTCCGCGTGACATGGCAGTGGCTCCTCTGAGAAAACAATCCAAAGGGGCCAAGGCAGACGCTATGATTCTGATACAACGGAGCGTCAGGAGACACCATCACCTCTGCAGGACTGGGCTGGTCCCAACGCTCAGCTCGAGCCAGAGCACGAGGAGACCACGGGAGGACCCGAACGCCGGGCGGAAAGGACCACCGGGGCCAACACGGAGGCCAGACACCACAGCGCTCTCGTTGGCTCCTCACCAGGAAGGCTGGCCGGGAATGGGGGGGGCCTGAAGAGGAGAAGGGGTGTAGTCCCAGTAGGGGCTGAAGGGGCAGAGAGCTCGAGCCTGAGTCAGACGTCCCTTTTCAAGGTTCTGGGCCATGGGATGCAGGCCCCACAGAGGGTGTCAGTGGTCAGCGCACAGCCAGAGAAGCAACCAGGACCCTGTGTCCACTGGAAAGAGATGACCCTCTCCCCACTCTCTCCAGCTTGTGGGTCTGTTTCTAGACTCTGCCCTGCTCCATTGATCTGTCTGCCTGCTTTATGCCAGCGCCACACTGGGTGACCTGCGCTCACACCGCAGGCCCGGGCATCTGGCAGTGTGACCCCGCCAACTCTCTCACTCCTCGCCTGGATGGCCGTGGCTGTCACTGGCCTTCTGCGTGTCCATAT